CGAGCTTCTTCGGAATGCCCTATGGATTCAAAAGCATCAGTGGCGTCCAGACCTCCCTCTTCCATAAGAACTTCTTCGCCTCCAGGATGCTATAACCAAAATTTGTAGTCAACAAAGTTTTCTCGCGCCGTTCATATGAAGCAGGAATATAGCTATCAACAGAAAAACTATTATTAAACAAAACCTTACTTCTTCTTTAAACTTTGTTACATCATAAACCTTGCCATGTATACTGATATACAAGGGATTAGATTTACCGTCATATTTGCGAAGTTCTTCAAGTGTGAAGGTTTTAACAGACATTTCGATCAAGCGATTTAAAAACTCGAAATGCTTTTGGACTAATTTATATGAACAATAACCAATAAAATTTGACCAAATGTATTCCCTTTTTGACATTAATGTTCGTATTAATCTTTACTTGGTTAAATTTTAATACCCAATCAAGTAAATTCAATAATTTGTCACATGATTTACATTATGATTCTAATTATGGGATATTCTTTTTTACGCATGTTGACGGAGAAACAAAACAAATATTACGTTCCTAATCTCTGCCCTCTGCCCCATCGATGTGCACTTGTCGGCTGATTTTCGGAAGAATTTCTTGGTGGTAAAACAGTGGTACCAAAAGATGTCCGTATTCCATTTGTAGGTGGGAATTGTTGATATAACCATTGTGGTGTATTTAATAACCTTGGCCCACCACTTGCAGGATAAAGTTCTTGTAAAAAATAATATATGTGTCCGGTAACTATTCCAATGAGTGTGTGCCATGGTAAAGCACCTCCCATTTGTAAGGCATCGAATGCAAGAAGAACCCAAGGAAAATAAACACCCTATAACCCGAATAATGAACTTAGTTTCTTGTTGAATGGTAGAAAGATGCAATTTATTTTACCTTGAACCTCAATCCAAAAATAAAGGTTACTATGGAATCACGATATTGCTGAGACCACAGATATATGATTGACATAAGAAGACTCTGATTAAGAAGTATGAAATCTAATAGCCAACCAATTATCTAGTCCCAGAA